CCGTACTGCAGGTAGTCGATGTCCTTTTCTCTCCTGCGGAGCTGGGGAAATCAAAAGGTACCGAAGCTGCTACTCCCCGGACCTCTCCCGGGGCGCGTTCTGACCAGGATGCCGAGGCGAATCCAGCGGTGGCGACGAGAAACTCCCAGGAGGCCCCAAAAAGGCGGAAAAGAGGCAAGGGTAGCGGTATGGGTACCTCTTCCTCCTCCGAAGCCATTTGTTGCCTCACCCCGCAATGTCCTCATGTCGTTCTGCCTGGCCCCCGGAGCCTCGCACGGAGCGCCGAATCCTGGTGCCGTCGGGCCTGCGGAGTCGGCCGGGCAGTCTCACGGGGGGTCTGGCGGCGCTCCTCTGTCCACCCAGTGCGGCGGTGTCGGCGCACACCGAAGGCTGGGCCCGAAGCACCAGGGGGCAGAATTCGCCGTGGCAGTCGGTGGCTGCGGTCGCGTGTTTGCACGGCGTCGGTGTTGCTAGCGTCTGGTGGCTCGTTGGTGGTAATAGCTCCTACCCGCCGAGCCATGTACACGGAGCCAGCTGCTCAACCATTACTCGGCGCGGAGATCTCCTCATGTGCGTCCCATACTCCTGTCTGTGAGCATCTGGGAGTGAAAGCGAGTCAGCGTGGACGACGGGCGCGACAACGACGACGGCAACAGCGACGACCTCAGTAACGTCCTCCTTCTCTGGGCATATTCCAGGAGGGAGAAGGGAAGCACAAGTGGAAGAGCGAGGGGGCAGTGGACCACCAAAGGAACGAAGACTGAGTGAATATGAGTGTGAATGAGTCTGAATGTGAGTGAACCCAGACATAGTCGAGTGCGAGTATCAGTTAGCCTATGTATGAGAGATTCTGAGTAAGAGTGGGTCTGAGAATGCGTAAGTCTGAGTATGAGTGAGTCTGAGTATGGATAAATCTGGGTGTGAGTGAATCTGACTATGAGTGTAATGAGTACGAGTCTGAGTCTGAATGGGTCTGAGTACGAGCGAGCCTTAGTACGAGTGAATCTGAGGGTGGTGGGTCTGAATGTGAGTGATTCTGAGTGTGAGTAAGTCTGGTATGAGTATGAGTATGATGAGTATGAGCCTGAGTGGGTCTAAATACGAGTGAGTGTGAGGGGGTGCGTCTAAGTGCGAGTGAGTCTGAGTTTGCATAAGTCTGAGTGTGAGTGTCTGAGTATGAATATGATGAGTACGAGTCGGAGTATGAGTAAGTCTGAGCACGAATGAGTTTGAGCATAAGCGAGTCTGAAACATCCTCACATTCTCTGCCCCTTGGGGTGCTGAAACCAGCGCATCACTCGAGACATCATCAGAATCTGCTCTGAACGCAGACGAGCCTGGCCAGCAAAACAGGCAAACCGCTCGAGACATCCTCGCAGTCTGGGCCCTCTGGGGTGCGAGAAACGCAGAGCCTCGCCCGAGACATCCTCGAGATCTGCTCCGAAAGCGGAGGATGCTGAGGGCACTTAACAGGCAGACCGCTCGAGTCCTCCCCGCAATCTGGGCGCGAACGGGCCCGTGCAGTCCCCCCCTGGCGACCCACCTCGCCCGGGGGAGCCTCAAACAAAATCTGATCCGAAAGCAGAGGATGTGGAGGGCTTACACACACCGCTCGAGGCACCCCCGCAATCTGGGCGCGAACGGACCCGTGCAGTACCCCCCTGGCGGTCCCCCCATGAGGTGTGCGAAAACCAGTTCCTCGCCCGAGACATTCTCCGAATCATCATCATCATCATCAGCATCATCATCATCATCATCATCATCATCATCATCAGCAGCAGCAGCATCATCATCATCATCATCATCATCATCATCATCATCATCATCATAATCATCAACATCATCATCATCATCATCATCATCATCATCATCATCATCATCATCACCATCATCATCATCATCATCATCATCATCACCATCACCAATAACCGCCATCATCATCATCATCATCATCAGCATCCTCAGCATCATCATCCTCAGCATCATCGTCATCATCATCATCATCATCGTCATCATCATCAGCATCCATCATCATCATCATCATCATCACCATCACCATCACCATCACCATCATCATCACCACCACCGAAATCATCAGCATCATCATGAGCATCAGCATCATAATCAGCATAGGCACCAGCATCATCAGCATCATCATCACCATCGTCCCCGTCATCATCATAATCATCATCATCATAATCAGCATCAGCATCATCATCAGCATCATCCTCATCCTCGTCCTCATCATCCTCATCACCTTCATCATCCTAATCAGCCTCATCATCGTCGCCATCATCATCGTTAACTTCAGCATCCTCACCATCACCATCATCATCATCATCAGCAGCATAACCATCATCATCGCCGTCATCATCATAGCATAAAATGAGAGTGACCCTGAGTGTGACTCTGAGTGTGACATGTCATGACAAGACCCCCATCCTTAGGATAGGGGGAAAAAACGAAAACTGTTCCTCCTTCCCCCCGTGTCCCTGCTGTCCTTCTCGGTGCGCAGATAGTTCACATCGATCTCCATCTTGAAGAGGTCCGCCCGGGGCTCGGCCTGGGCACGAGGCCGCGAAAGAGCGGGACGCGAGGCCGGTTCGGGGCACGCTCGACACCCGTCCTCATCCTAGTCATCCTCCGCCCCCACCGACCCAAAAAACTGAATAGCTCGAAAAGCACCCCACTACCTCTTGCCAGGACCACGCGGAGAACTCGGCGAAGCCGAAGACGCCCCGAGGCTTTCCGAAGCCTCCGAAGACCTCCCGCATGCCTCATCCCCCCTCTTCGTCCACTTCCTCCGCGTCCTCCGCCTCCTTCACCGCCTCCTCCTCCTCCTCCTACTCCTCCTCGTCTCCTTATTACTAAAATGTTTCACGTTCGTATTCTTCTAGGCTTTATTGTTAATACGATTACGGTTAAATTCATCATTATTAGTACGAGTATTATTGTTAACAGCTTTACTACCTTACTAATAATATTAGTATGATTGTTACCCGTATCAATATTACTACTACTACTAAAATTCGTAGAATTAGCACCCGTACTAGGATTATAATTATCATTAATAAAAATACCCTTAATAATATCAAAGTAGCATCAATATTAGCATGACCGGTATTGCTTCTATTACTTTTAGTATAATAATTCGTGTTACTAGTACACTTACTACTATTGGTGTTGAAACTACTGTTTCATACCAGTGTTAATGCTACAGATAGTATACGTATACGTATTATGAGTTCTGACATGTGGTTGGTATTACTGGTATTGTTTGTGTTACTCGTAATGTTAGTAGCATTGTTACCCTTATAAGTATTAGCCATATGATTAACATTAGTACCATATAGATGTGCATTATTATGTATATATGTGTCCCATTATGTGTCGTACTATTAATATGATTCGACTTAGTCGCATTACTGGCATCATCGCTAGTACTCTTACACCAGTGGCATTGTCCTCGTTAAGACTACTACTACTAGTTGTGCGATCGGTATGATGACTCGTCTTGATATGATTCATAGTAGCACTATTATTCTCACTGTCATGATTCGCATTATTCATTATTCTGCTAGTGGTAGCCTGAGTTATTCACAGCTTTGTGGTATAATTCTTTCTCTTCCATGTATAAGTAATAGTATAATTAGTCATATTCCTCCTGTGTTTGCTATTCGTCTTGATCTTGTTATTGTTCGTATCAGTCGTAGACTCAGTATTAATACTACTACTGATAGTATTGATATCTGTCTTTTCGCACTATAATTATTGATAAAAAATAATCGTCTTAGTCGTAGTTTTAGTCGCGTTGGTCTCGTTACTAATAAGATGCTATTTTAAAGAAATTAAGAGTATTCGTAACGGTACTGGTGCTATTAGTGTGTTTCCTCCCCTTCTCTGTATTGTTACCATTATTATTAGTACTCGTGGTACTAATAGATTGTTCTTAGTGGTACCATTATTGTTATTCGTATTCCTCTTACTCTTCCTCCTCCTCCTTCTCCTCCTCTTCATTATCTTCCTCCTCCTCCTCCACGTCCTCCTCCTCCTCTTCCTTCTCCTCCTCCTCTTCCTCGTCTCATCCTCCTCCTCCGCCTCCTCATTATCCTCCTCCTCCTCCTCCTCTTCCTCCACCTCCTCCCCTTCCCCCTCCTCCGCCTCCTCCTCCTCCATTCCTTTTCCTTGTAAATAACTTTTCCCTGTCACGCCCCGAGGCCTGCTTTTAGGGCGGGCCGGGCGTACGCCTGAGACTTCCTCACCACTTATGACCCTGAAGCTTTCAAAGTGGCAGCAGTTTCACGGATTAAGGGCGGATCGTTTTCAAAATAAGGTTGTCGTCTTAGCGCCCCGCACATTCGCTCTGAAAGGTTGCGAGAGTTTAACGGGTTGCAGGCAGGTCGTTTTCAAAATGCGGCTCTCGCCTTAGCGCCGCGTACATTCGTTTTACAAAATTGCAAGAGCTTCACGGATTGAGGGCGGGCCGTTTTCAAAATGTGACTCTCGCCTTAGCGCCGCGCACATTCGCTTTAAAAATGTGCAATAGCTTCATGGATTGAGGACAAGTCATTTTCAAAATGTGGCTCTCGCCTTAGCGCCGCGCACATGTTTTGAAAATTTACAGAAGTTTCACGAATTGAGGGCTGTTCCTTTTCAAAATGAGGTTCTCGCCTTAGCGCCGCGCACATTCTATTTGAACATGTGCAAGAGTATCTGGGATTCCCCTGATCCACGTACAAAAAAATTGCGCTTTGGAAACAATCGGGATTATGAGGGCGCCACAGTTTCATTGATTCGCGGTGTTGAAGTCCCAGGAAAGGCGTTCTGGCACGAATGAGGATCGTCAAGACGCAACAGTCGGGTTGATCCGTGGCGTTGGAGTCCCGAGAATGATGTGTTGGTATGACTCAGGGTCTTCAAACGGTTGTCTTCCAACGAGGCAACTCCTTCGGTGGATTTGCAGCGTCGTGGGGGCCTATGACGAGGGAGCTTGGAGAGAGGGTTTCTTCCAACACCGTCGGTGACTCTTGGGTTTACGCTGGTCCTCTTCCTCCTCCTCCTCCGCCTCCTCCTCCTCCTCTTCCTCCTCCTCCTCCTCCTCCGCCTCCTCTTGCCGGTCGTACCCCCGGGAAACCCAGGACCCGAGCCCTCGTGCCGAGACAGCGGCCTCTGCAGGAGCTCGCCGCGCGGGGCGGGGAGGCCTGCACCCGGTTGACCAGCTCGACCAGCTTCCTGCCCTCGGGGTGCAGCATGGCCGCCGACGGCACGATGCCGGCCTCGGCGGGCGAAGGGGGGGCTGCCAGGCTCGTCCTGGCGCCAGCCTCCTCGGCTGGAGGAGGCTAGGGGGCCACGTGCGAACCCTACCCCTACCCCCCACGACTAATGAGGGGAAGGGTGGGGTTCACTTTGCTCGGGAGCTCCCGAGCGAAGTGAACCCCACCCTCCCCCTCAGAAATCGTGGGGGGTAGGAGTAGGGTTCGCACGTGGCCCCCTAGGAGGCGGCGGAGGAATGAGGGAACAAGATCGAATGAGAAAGATGCATGAGGAAGAGGAGGAGGAGGAGCATCTCCTGATCAAGTCGTGCATACATACTCTTGAGACCATTGATCAACATCTCTGGGCCGGAAGTCAATGGGAGCCTGGAGTCAGAAATGGCCTGAACGGAATCAACAGTACTGCTAATTTAAAACCGGGCACATCCACAGGGGATACGTCCTTTTTCGGCCAGTATGAAACCGACCATCATCACATTTGCCCCGCAGAGTCATGTGTACTTTTACTATGTGTGTACCTGCCCTTGTTGATACTCGTGAGAGCAGTGAACAGAGTAGGCGTGCGAATCAATATTGTGCGTGCAAATGCACGCCCTGTCCCACCAGCCAGAAGGTCCTGGAATACGCACTGGTCGAACTCTGTGGTAGAGGAAATCGGGGAAGAGGTCAGGGCACGCATGGAGGCCCACATGAATGCGAATGGTACCTGAAGTCTCCAAACCGCTGGCTGTGGTTGCTCTGCTCACCCAATCGTGCCAGCTACAAGATGCTCTCCAGGCAACTGCACAATCGCAAAAATCAAAAAGGTTGCTGACCTCCAGTTGCTGTTGCTGCGCTTCTGTCGCCCATGGTACCCCCCACATGTACTCGTTGGTGCGTAAAGGGGGTCCTTCCAACCACCTGGCAGCACACCAGGTTTCACCTGGTCCCCCCCCCGTGTTCCAAAACCTATGTGCTCGTATGTGTCCGTCCATTCTGCAATAGTTTGACGTCGTGTCAGGTCCCTTTTGATCTGGTGGATAGCTGTATCCACTGATAGCATGGTAACCTGGTAGTCTGGCAAAGTAACAACGACCCCGATGTGGGACTGGACGGCACCTTCTCTGCGCAAACCTGGAAAAAACAATACATCCCTCCTGTGAACATGCATGGGAACCATCTCTGTTGCCGTGCCCTCAAAGTCCTGAGGGCGGCAGATGTAGCAGCGGTCATACAAGATGTCAAATATGAGCCTTCTGAGCGGGGTCCCTCTTGGAGCCTTGGCGGACAGTCCTAAGCTGCACACGGGCCTCATCCGAGAACTCATACAGGGAATCTTGAAGTATCTCACGAGCGTCTGTTTCGTCGAACGTGGCAAAAGACCCAAGTAGAGTCCCAGATCAGGCCTTGCTCCAGTACGTGCGTTGTGGCAGGAAATGCAGAGCGCCACCTGCGTAGACCATTACGCCTCTGTGCCAATAAAGCTGCCGCGTCCTCCTTGGCCTGTACTCTTTGCCAGAGATGCTGGGACCTCCGCGCCGTGTAAAAAAAAATGCCAGTCAACAGCGAGCAGAGTCAGATGCCAGGTGGTCCCTGACCTGTCTTTTGTGCGACAGCTCGGTGGCGCACGCCCTACGTGTGTTGGAAGGCCCCATGATGAGCTCCACGTGCTGCACGAAGGGATTCTGCTGCCGAACAACGCGTTGCTGAAGCGCCCTGTGCTTGTGGAGTGAGACCACGGGCACTCGTGTTGCGAAAGCGTGCTGAACTCGTGCTGCCAGGGAGGATGCTGAGGGTGAATAATGGGGAGGGGTACTCCGCACGTACGAACTCTGCCCATGAAATCCTCCTCGGCTGCAGCCGCGAGCGCCTTGCGTCTGGTTGCAGCTGCGTGGTTCGCCGGTGCTTGCTTTAAAAGCTGCCTCCAGGAACGGAACGACTTGCATGCAAGCTGCTCCCACGGTTGGAGATCGGTGGCTGGGTCGGGAAGTCTGCGCACACCTTGGTGACAAGCTTTAACCAAACCAGATCGTTGGTAGTTTCATGAAGCCACGAGGCCTCTGCCACCTTGAAGCCATGGTTACCATACCTTTCAGCACATCGAGCCCAAAACGAAGTAATCTCACAAAAAAAGCCAGAGTCGGTGCGCGCGCAATTGTGTTGGGATATTTGCTCTCCTGACTACCCCCATAACAAGTTCGTCTGTATTCGGAGTGCTTCGTCTGTAGTCGCTGTGTCGTCGTTCCCTACGTACGCCTGCTGCAGCCTGATATTTGCTCAAAATGCTGGCCGACAAGAAGAGCTCCTGCGCTTTGCCATGCCCTGCCGCGTGCCCGCATTGCACAACTGCGAAGAGGTAGTGAGCGAGTCCAGAAGGTGTACTCTGATCTTCACATCTGGTCCATAGAAGACGATCTGGAAGGGGGAGGAGGGGGGAGGGAGGAGGGATAGAAGAGGGAGGAGTGAAGAGAGAAGATGAAACATGGAGGGAAGGGGTAAGTATTGGGAGGAAGGAGGGATCGGAGGGAGCGAAAGGAGCGAGGAGGGAGGAGGGAGAAGGAGAATCCGAGAACAGCCCTGACCCAACGCTGGCAGTAAGTTAATCATTAGATCACCATGTTTATGTGTCCTTCGCCTACTGAAGGATCGGGGCCAATTCCAGCAGCTAGAGCTCGACAAGATCTTCAAAACGGTGGTACTGATTATGCCCCGACAGGAGTTGTAAAGGACACGAGTCACCACAAAGGGGGTCATTCAAAATACAGTGAAGCTACTGCACTGAGGAACGCTGCAGAAGGCACGAAGCCCTTTTCTTGGCACCAGAAGCGCCCGGGTACACGAGGAGCGCTAGGGAAACAACCTTGGAAGGACCTAGGGAGCATCGAGCCTCTTCCCAACCCAAACTGTTCTTTCTTTCAGCGTCTTGGCTGTACAGGGGGGCAGGCCTCCACTGTCGTGGAAACATAAGTCGGGCGTGTCTGGACCGAATTTCTGCCTCCGAAGGCCGCTCCCAAGGCCCGAGAGAACAACCAAAAATACCAGGGGGTTGGCCTGGGGGATGGGGCCGAGAGCTCTGGGGCCAGCGTCGCGAAGAACAGCGACGTCGGAGGTCCCGGTGAGCAGGGGTGGGTGGGAGGGGAAGGCGTCCAGGGCCTGGGGGGGGCTTGCAGGGGAGGAGGAAGAGGCAGAGGGTGATCGAGGCCCAAGGGTCGAGAGGGATGATCGAGGAGGAGGATCAAGGAGGAGGAGGATCGATGAGGGGAGAAGGGAGGGAGGGGAGGAGGAGGAGGAGGAGAGAGGAGGGAGGGAGGACGGGAGGAGGAGTAGGGAAGATGAGGGAGAGGAGGAGAGGAGGAGGAGGAGGAGGAGGAGGAGGAGGAGGAGGAGGAGGAAGGAGGAGGAGGAGGAGCGAGGGGAAGTCTGAGGGACCGAGGCGTGGCGGGGGGGGGGGGGAGCGGTGTTCAGAGACGGCCGCGGCAGAGTAGTTACGGCGGGGCGGTCTGTGAGGGCAGGGCATACCCCCTTCCAGATTTCGCTGCACGCTCCTGTGTGCGACGTCGCGTAGTCGTCCTCCTCTTCCTCCTGCTCTTCCTCCTCCTCCTCCTCCTCCCTCCTCCTCCTCCTCCTCCTCCTCCTCCCTCCCCCCTCCTCCTCCTCCTCCTCCTCACTCCTCCTCCTCTGCACCTCCCCTCTCCTCCTCCTCCTCCTCCTCCTGCCACTCATTATCCTGCCCATCATTATCCTCCTCCTCCTCCTCCTCCTCCTCCTCCTCCCTCCTCCTCCTCCTCCTCCTCCTCCTCCGCATCCTCCTCCTTCTCCTCCTCCTCCACCTCCTCCTCCTCCTGCACATCATTATCCTCATCATACTCCTCCAACTCCTCCTGCTCCTCCAACTCCTCCTCCTCCTCATCCTCATCCTCCTCCTCCTGCTCCTCCTCCTCCTCCTGATCATCATCATCAGCAGCAGCATTATCATCATCATCATCAGCAGCAGCAGCATCATCAGGAGCAGCATCAGCATCAGCATCAGCATCAGCATCATCATCATCATCATCATCATCATCATCATCATCATCATCAGCATCATCATCATCATCTGCACCGCCATCAGCATCATCATCATCAACATCATCATCATCATCATCAGCATCATCATCATCATCAGCAGCATCATCATCAGCATCGTCATCATCTTCATCCTCAACCTCATCCTCATCCTCCTGCTATTGCACATCATTATCCTCTTCCTGCTCCTCCTGCTCCTCCTGCTCCTCATCCTCCTCCGCCTCCTGCTCCTCCTCCTGTACACCATTATCCTCTCCTCCTACTCATACTCCTGCTCCTCATGCTCCTCCTGCTCCTCCTCCTCATCATCATTTTCTTCTTCGTCATCACCACCACCACCATCATCATCATCATCATCATCAGCTTCATCATAACCAGCATCACTACCACCATCATCATCATCGTCATCATCATCATCATCATCATCATCATCATCATCATCATCACCATCCTGCACACCATTATCCTCTCCTCCTGATCCTTCCTGCTCCTCCTCCTCCTCCTTCTCCACATCATTACCCCCCTCCTACTCCTCCTGCTCCTCCTGCTGCTCCTCCTCCTCCGCCTCCTTATCTATTCCTTCTCCTGGTAACTTCTCCATGTCGCACCTCGGGGCCAGTTTTTAGGGCGGGTCGCGCGTTTCGCCTGAGACGTCCTCACCACTCATGACCCTGAAGTTTAAAGATTGGCAACAGCTTCACGGATTGAGGCCGGATCGTTTTCAAAGTGTGCCTCTCGCCTTAGCGCGGCGCACGTTCGCTTCAAAAATTTGCTACAGTTTCACAGATTGAGGGCGGGTGGTTTTCAAAATGTGGCTCTCGACTCAGCGCGGCGCACATTCGTTCTAGTCATCTGCAACAGTTTCACGGACTGAGGGTGGATGCTTTTCAAAATGTGGCTCTCGCCTTAGCGCCGCGCGCATTCGTTTACAATATTTTCAAGGGTTTCACGGTCCCACCATCAACGTACCAGAAATGATGTTTTGGAAGGATTCAGGACTATGCGGGTGCAACAGTTACGTTGTTTCTCTGTGCTGAAATCCTAGGAATGGCGTTCTGGCACGATTCAGGGTCGTCAAGACCCAACAATCAGGTTGATCCGTGGCGTTGGAATCCCGAGAACAATGTTTTGGCATGCTTGAGGGTCTTCAAATGGGTGTCGTCCAACGAGGCAGGTCCACCAATGAAAATGACCCGTTGTAGGGGCCTATGAAGAGGGAGCTTGGAGGGAGTGTTTACTCCAACATCGTTGATGACTCTTGGGTTTACACTGGTCATCATCCTCCTCCTGCTCATCAGTATCCTCCTCTTCCTCGTCGTCCTCCTCCTCCTCGTCCTCCTCCTCATCCTCCTCCTCCGCCTCCTCCTCCTGCTCCGCCTCCTCCTCTTCCGCCTCCTTCTCATCATCATCATCATCATCCTCCTCATCAGCATCAGCATCAGCATCAGCATCAGCATCAGCATCAGCATCAGCATCAGCATCAGCATCAGCATCAGCATCATCATCATCATCATCATCATCATCATCATCATCATCATCATCATCATCAACATCAACATCAACATCATCATCATCATCATCATCATCACCACCATCATCCACATCATCATCACCATCATCAGCATTACTATCATCACCATCATCATTACCACCATCAACGTCATCATCAGCATCAGCATCAGTATCCGTATCATTCATCATCATCAGCATCATCACCATCACCATCCACGTCATCATCATCACCATCATCAGCATTATCATCATCATCATCATCATCATCATCAGCATCATCAGCATCAGCATCAGCATCAGCATCAGCATCCTTCCCATGATCCTTATCCTCCTCCTCATCCTCTTCCTCCTCTCCCGCCTCCTCTGCTTCACCTCGCTCGTCACTCCCCCTTCCTCCTACTAGTGCTGGTCCCTCGTGTTTCAAATGCGCGTTGTCGGATCGGATAAAGCTCCATGTTTCGAGAAGGCCTAGATGGTTTCTCCGCTCAAGCCTGATGGTTGGCTCATGGATGTCTCCGAAGAGGCGCACGCGCCGACCCTACAGAATGCCCTCCAGCTACCAAGATCACGACGGTGAGCTGTTCTCCCTCTGCGTCTGTGTGCTGCACTGCACTATCCCAGACTTCACTGGACCAGGCTACGTACTATCCTGAGATTCGTTCCTATACGGTTTGGCGGGATACTTGACGCGTCCACCTGGATGACACATTCATGATTCTCAATCTGACGTCACATTGTGCCAAACCTTTTCAGTCATAAGGCAGGTGCAGGGTAAACCGCATCGGTGAATGCCAGCAGGCTGCGACAAGGATGCTCAGCACCAAGTTGGGTCCACTTGGCCCCCGACGCTTGCGTGTGTTCCTCATCCTGCTCCTCATCATCATCATCACCACCACCACCATCGCCACAACCTCCATAATCACCACCACAACCCCCACAATCGTCATCAGGCTGATCATTGACGTCGTCATCATCATCATCATCATCATCATCATCATCATCATCAGCATCATAATCATCATAATCGTCATCATCATCATCATCATCATCATCATCATCATCATCATCATAATCATAATCATCATCATCATCATCATCATCATCATCATCATCATCATCATCATCATCATTAGCATCATCAGCCGCAGCATCATTATCATCAGCATCATCATCAGCAGCAGCAACTGCAATCTCAATGATCATAGTATGCAACAGAATGGTCACCACCACCATCACAATCATCATATTCATCGTAATAATCATCATCTTCATCATCACCATCACCAGCATCAGCATAAGCATCAATAGCATCATCAGCATGGTGATCATCATCAGCGCAATCATCATCAGCATCATCGTCGTCAGCAGCAGCAGCATCAGCATCAGCACCATCATCATCACCATCATCATCAGCAGCATCATCAGCAGCAGCAACAACACCATCGTCGTTGACATCGCCGTCGTCATCACTACAACCACCGTTAACATGATCAACAGGACTATCATCATCATCATCATCATCATCATCATCATCATCATCATCATCATCATCAGCATCATCATCATCATCATCACTATAATCAGAATCATCATAATCAGCATCATCACCACCACCACCACCATCATCATGATCACCACCACCAGCACATCATCCTCATCATCATCCTCATCATCATCATCAACATCATCATCGCAATCACCATCATCTATGGTCATCATAGCAATCACCACATTCACTTCCATATTCATCATCATAACCATCATCATCACCACCATCACAACCACAATCATCATCACCATCACAATCACCATCATCACCATCATCACCATCATCATCATCATCGCAATCACCATCATCTATGGTCACCGTCACCATCACAATCACCATCACCATCACCATCACCACCATCACCATCACCACCATGATCAGCAGCATCAACACCACCACCACCACCATCATCATCATCATCATCATCATCATCAGCATCATCACCACCACCATCATCACCATCATCATCATCATCTTCATATCCCTACCCATCATCATAAGCGTCATCATCACCACCATCACAATCACAATCATCATCAGCATCACCATTACCATCGTTACCATCATCACCATTAACACCATCATCACCATCATCATCATCATCATCATCATCATCGTAATCACCATCATTTCTCATCACCATCACCATCACAATCACCATCACCATCACCACCACCATCACCATCAGCATCAAAACCAGCATCATCATCATCATCGTCGTCATCAATATCATCATCATCATCATCATCATCATCATCATCATCATCATCATCATCATCATCATCATCGTCATCGATTATCAGTATCCGCCTCTCCTCCTCCTGGTAGCACTGGGAAGCGCGGCCGTGCGAGCGCAGCAAACGCCCTCCTATCCATCCATCTTCCTCCCAAGCCACTAGTTCCTTTTGCTCTTACTCATCTCCCTCCTCCCTCCTCCTCTCCTCCTCCTCCTCCTTTCATCCACCTCCCCCTCCTTTACTCCTCCTCCTCCTCCTTTACTCCTCCTCCTCCTCCACCTCCTCCTCCTCCTCTTCCTCCTTTTCCTCCCTCCTCCCCCTCCTCCTAATCCTCCTCCTCCTCCTCCTCCTCCTCCTCCTCCTCCTCCTCCTCCTCCTCCTCCACCTCCTCCTCCTCCTCCTCCTCCTCCTCCTCCTCCTCCTCCTCCTCCTGCTGCTCATCCTGTTTTTCACCCATCATCTCTTCCTCGTCCTCATTCGCCATGTTTGCCTCCTCCCTCCGCCGTCCTCCTCCCGTTGTCCCTCTTCTGCTGTTCGCCTCCTCTTCCTCCTCCTCTTTCTCCTCCTCCTACTCCCTCCCCTCCTCCTTCTCCTCCTCCTCCCCCTCTTATGAATCCACCCCCGGACCGTTCCACTGGCGCCGACGATGCAGCCCGGGCGACGACGGCGCCCCGCGATGCCCAAAGAACACACAACAGCGCCCAATCATTTCGATAATCAATCCTCATCGTCTTCCTCTTCCTCTTCCACGGTTTCGGCAGAAGGGCGCTAAAGTCGACGGCCTCCTCCATCTTTGCGACCGCCTGCTCCTGCTCGGACTTCTCCTTTTGAGAGAAACAAGGAGGAGGAGCTGCGAGGAAACGCAAGAGGAAGAGCAGGAGGAGGGGCAGGAGGAGAAGGAAAGAGAAACTAGAATGAGGATGGAGAGGTGAAAAAATGAACAAGGCGAATGCGTCTGTATCGGCATACTGAGAAGGCGCGTATAGCGCGCGGAAAAAGCGGGCACGGGAGGACCTCCTACCGGCGCCAGAGCACAAATGGCGGCGTCAAAGGGGAACTATCACAACAAGCAAAGGTGAGCAGGGACACGTGAGTTACCGTTCGACTCTGGTGCTCAAGCCCGTCCGTCGTGCATACGGTAAACAATGCAAAGCGGGGCTCCAAGAACCGCCCCTTCATAACAAAAGTTGCCTGGCCGCGGAGGGACAAATGCACATGATTTCCGCAAGTCCCTGGGCTGGAATGGAAGACTTGACTCCAGTCCAGAAGTACATTGACCCCCACGGCGCCAACCGCAAAATCGCTCCACGGCGCCAATGGCAGGAATGGAAGTACTCCCGCCAGAACACGTGGGGCTAGCCGAAGCAAGCCAATCGATCCCCCACCTAACATATGTGAGACTGTTAAGGAGCACTGCTGAAGCAACCGCGAGCTGCCCAGACACAGTCCAAGCAAGCCCGCTCACTTGAGCGCTCTACTCTCCATCTCGCCCGCTGATGTCGTAGATCCACTTTCCGATTCCGTGCGACCTCGTGACGCAGTCACGGGAGCCATCTCCTTACTTCTGCGTGAGTGAACTATGCTGTGTGCTCGGAACGGCCGTTTTCTTCAGCTTCTCGCCGCGGAACTTGACCGCGGCGTGGCGACAGCTGATCTGGCCGCCCATCACGCTGAGGATCAGCTCTCGGCCCATGCTGCCCTTGGTCATGGAGTCGGCCCGCGCGTCTGGAATGTCGCACCAAGGCAAATCGTCGATCCACTTGGTGCGCAACTGGCCGGCGAACCACCACAAATGGCCAGCTGCGCTGTTCTGGGACGGCGGCCGGACCGGGTTCATGAGCAAATCAGGGCGTTGAAGACGGACATGCCGTCTATGACGAGATCTGCGGGGCTCGCGCAATCCCCATTCCCTCCTCGGAGGAGGCGGGGCCGTGCACCATCCCGTGCAACGCGAGGAAGCACGCCTACAGACCGTCTGCTGCGCCGCATGCTGCGAGCAGCTCGGAGCCGAATGAGGATCTGCACACAAGCTTGCGCGATCGGCTAACAGCGCCCAGCAGGTGGCACGCCCATCTGCCGGTGCGGCGGCACTTGTCGTGACGCACGCACGCGGTTCCCATCACGCCGTGTCCTGACTCATCCTCCCTCTTGAAGAACCCGTCGCCGTGCACACTGAGTCATCCAACACACTCCACTGAAAGAAATGTGACGCGTGCCGTCACTGAAACCGACCTGCATCACGGGTCGGATGAGCAGCTTGTTCTTGGCTCACTGCAGGGCCACAATGTATACTGCGACGTGGTGATGAACGAGCAAGGCGTAGGCCGCTGCTCCCAAGAGAAAGACAAAGATGTCGGGAAGCTGACCTCGGGCCGGCTTGTCAACATTGGCTTTGACCACATCGACGTATGATTGGTATCAGAGCGTCGATGTACTCATCCTGGTCTAGCGTCACGGTGCCATCGGCATTGCGGCGCTGATGCACGACGCAGTTGGTGAAGTCATCGTAGCCACCCCTCGTCTAGCCGAAAACGTTTTCTGACCAGCCGGTCGAAGTGCTCCTTGTACCCAGCGATCTTTACATCGTCAACACGCCTGAACAACGTGAGCATCAGCTCCGAGACGCCGGCAGCAAAGCTGCCGAAAGTCAGGCGTTTGACCTCAAGCTCTGGGACCCACCTGGTAGGTTTGGCGCTGCACTCGGGCGAACGCGTGATCCGGGCGAGCTTCATGGAGGAGGCTCGGGGCGCATCCTTGCAGCCCGCACCCGGCCCGATGCAGCGCAGGCACTCGGTCCGCTCGTCGAAGCTCTCGTAGCCGGGCGCCTGCCTGAGGATGGCTGCACTTCCGGGCGGCAGGGAAGTTCACCTAACAAGGTGTTTCGCCTTGCTCCTGCATCTCTGCATGAGGACGAAGGAGGATGGGCGATGAGACGGAACAGGGGGCAGAGACGAGACGGGGGGAAAGGCAGGAGGGGGAGAAGGGGGAGGAGGGGAATAAAGAAGAACGACGGGAGGATGATGAGGAGAAGGACCGAAAGTCGGCGCGCGCATTTGCACGTCGCCGACGTGGCGCGCTCAGCAGTGCCCAAGTTGGGGTCGACGATGCGCTCAAGCAAAATAACAGGCATCATGAATGATATCACGCGTGACTCCTGCTCATGGATTGCCGACGCCGTCGTAATCAAAATACAGCCCTGCAAGGATGGGACAAGCCCAAAGTATGCAATCGAAACTGTTATTCCACGTGCCTTACTGAGCGGATAGAGTTATATATGCATACGCGCACACGCATGCATATGTTAATTTACGCGCGCGTGCACACACACACACACACACACACACACACACACACACACACACACGTGCGCGCATGTTCGCAATCGCGGAAATTGGATCGCTTACGAAGTTGAATACGACTTGCGCACGGCAGCGCAGCTCCTGGAAAAGGCAATCGCCGCGGGGGCACTGGAAGAGAATTGGGTATCGGATTCGGGTAAATAGGAAGGGAGGAAGAGAAGGAGGAGAGGAAGAGGAGAAGGGGGAGAAAGCGGGGCGATCGCGCAATCGCATGTTTTGACATGGCGAGAGGTCCACGCGACGTCGACGCGGCAGCGGCTATCGCGGTGCACGCACGCGCGCGCTTGCACGCGCGAGTACTACAGCAATTGCATGTTGCCCCACTCTGCTTCGCAAAAAACCCTTTCCCCTTCCCGCTCCTTCGTTTTAAGTAGCCGCTCTTTTCCTCCTCTCCTCCTCGTCTCCCCTCCTCCTCGTTTCTCGATCTCCGGCCCTCGATTGCGTTCCCCCCCCCCCTGTATGCGCCGTTGCCTGCTGCGCTTGCTTCGCCCAGGCACGCGACGGCATCCGCGACTGCGTCGTCTACATCGTCTTCGGGCGGACGCCAGTGAGGGCAGAAGGAAAGCAAGAAGATTCGGTGCCAAGGGCCCGCGCATGGCGCATCATCGTTGCGCGGTGCCGCGGCCTGCTCGGCGCATCGCTTCGCGGGCGCGGGCGCAACTGCCCCGCCCCAAGTGGGCAGGCCTCCCCTGCCTCGGGGCGGGCCACAGGCCGGGGGCACAGCCTCGAGTCAGACGACCACCGAAGAAGCAGGGCTCCCGAATAACCCGCTACACCAACGGCGCTCGCGCCTTGACGGCGCTCGCCTGACGACCAAGCGAGAATCACTCCACTCAGGGCACAGACTTGAGGTGTGGCAGGCCTCCCTTTGGGCGAGGGCGGACCACGGGCCCTTCTGCCCCGTCCACTCGGGCTGGCCTCCTCCGTTCCAGGGGTAAACCACAGGCCAAGGGCACGCCTCCCCCTCGAGACGGCCCCCCCTCAAGGGGGGCGAGCTGCGGGGTCGGAGGAGCAGCGCGGTTGCTGCGGCGAGGCCGCCTGAGCGGCGGGCCCGAGGGTTCGATGGCTGCTGGCGGTCGGGCGGCAGGAAGCCTGCTGCCGTCCCGCCAGCTGTTGTCGAGAAGATGATTACGCAATGGAAGAGACGAAGTCGTTGAGGAGGAGATTGTCGAGGAGATTGTCGAGGAGGTTGTCGAGGAGGTTGTCGAGGGGGTGGTTGACGAGATGCGAGGGGGAGTTGTTGTCGAGGGGTATGCGCTGCCGCCCCCCCCCCCCCCCGGCAGAGGGGAGGCGGGGAGTGTGCAGCGCGCCCTCTCCACGTAAGGGGGGTCATCACGGTCATCACAATCATTACAGTACGATCACTCGCCCCTCCCACCCCTGGCGGCGCCGTCCTGCAGCTCCGTCGCCTCCTTCGCGCGGTCCGCCGCGTCCTTCTCCCTCTCGGCGGTCCGCAGCCGCTTCTCCTCGCGCTCGACCTCGGAGTCGCGAGGAGCGAAGGTGGGCACGAGGAGGTACGCAGTGAGCAGGTGGGAGGGAGGGAGAGAGAGAGGGGGACGACCAGATCCCACCAAAAAAAGAAACCTCTTACTCCCATCGGGATTGACGAGATGAGGGATACGAGGTCACCACCACCATCATCCTCATCCTTATCCATATCCTCAGCATCAGCATCATCATCAGCATCATCAGCAGCAGCATCGTCATCATCATCAACATCATCAGCATCAGCAGCAGCGGCAGTAGTGTCCTCATCATCAGCATCATCATAATCGTCGTCAGGGGCAGCATCGTCATCTTCCTCCTCCTCATCACCATCATCATCATCAACACCACCACCACCATCATCAGCAGCAGCATCAGCATCAACATCATCATCATCATCAGCAGCAGCAGCATCGTCACCCTCATCATCATCATCATCATCATCATCATCAGCAGCAGCAGCATCATCATCATCATCATCATCATCATCATCATCATCATCATCATCATCATCATCATCATCATCATCATCATCACCATCATGATCATCATCATCATCATCATCATCATCATCATCAGCATCATCATCATCATCATCATCATCCGAATCGTCGTCATCATCATCATCCTCAGCATCAGCGTCATCATCATCCTCATCATCATATCCATTGTCATCCACATCATCATCATCAACAGCATCGGCACCATCATCGCATTCATCATCAGTACCATCAGCATCAACATCATCATCATCATCACCAGCATCATCATCAGTATCATCATCAGCATCACCATCAGCATCACCATCATCAGCACCCGCATCGGCATCATCATCATCATCGTCGTCACCATCAGAATCACCATCATCATCAGCAGCAGCAAAAGCATCATCGTCACCATCATCAGCATGACCATCCTCACCATCATCATCATCAGTGTCAGCATCATCATCACCACCATAATCCTCACCACCACCATCATCATCATCATCAGCAGCACCATCATCAGCATCGTTAGCAGTATCATCATCATCAGCATCATCATCATCAAGGCCATCATCATCACCACCATCATTATCATCATCATCATCCTACTCCACCTAGCCGTCTCCTCCTTCTCCTCCTCCTCCTCCTCCGCCTCCTCGTCGCCATCATCAGCAGCATAAGCATCACCATGATCCTCATCATCATCATCATCATCATCATCATCATCATCATCAGCATCATCATCATCATGATTATCAGCATCATCATCAGCATCATCAGCAACATTACCAACATCATCATCATCAGCAGCAGCAGCATCAACGTCACCATCACCATCATCATTATCATGAGCATCATCATTATCATCAGAATCATCGTCCTCATCATCATCATCATCATCAGCATCATCAGCATCATCGTCATCGGCAGCAGCAGCATCATCGTCATCCACATCATCATCAGTATCATCCTCACCATCATCACCACCACCATCATCATCATCATCATCATTATCATCAGCATCCTCTTCCTCAGCATCGTCCTACGCCTCATCCTCCTTCTCAGCATCATCGCCGTCGTCGTCAACACTACCAGTATGAGCATCATCAGCATCATCAGCATCATCAGCATCATCATCATCATCATCGTCGTGATCATCACTTTTCTCATCCTCCTCGTTATCATCATCATCATAATCATTGTCATCATGGTCCAGCTCCTGCACCCCTGTAGCTGAGCACCCGAGAATCATCATCATCAGCATCCTCTTCGTCGTCATCAGCATCATCACCATCAGCATCAACATCACCATCACCATTAGGAAGATTAGAATCGGCATCATCATTACCACGATGACCATCATCACCCTCAACACCATAAAACAGCCACCACCATCATCAGCATCATCATCAGCATCATCAGCATCGTCATCAGCATCATCATCATCAGAATCATCATCGTCATCATCAGAATCTTCATCATCATCATCATCATCATCATCATCATCAGTACCATCAGCATCATCATCATCATAATCCGCCTCATCATCATCATCATCATCATCATCATCATCATCATCAGCAGCACAGCCTCATCATCATCAGCAGTAGTGTCCTCAGCATCATCATCACCACGAGCAGCAGCATCAGCATCCTCATCATCATCAAAATCCTTATCATCGGCAGCATCAGCAGCATCATCATAATCATCCTAACAAGCAGCAGCATCAACATAATGATCGCCATCATTAGCATCATCAGCATCATCAGTACCATCATCATCATCATCATCATCATCATCATCATCATCATCATCATCATCATTAGCCTCATCACCATCACCATCATCATCCTCATCATCAGTACCATCTTCAGCATCATCGACATCAGCCTGATCGGCATCGTCATCATTACCACCACAACCATCACCATCACCATTACCATATCCATGATCATCATCAGCAGCAGCAGCATCAGCATCACCATCATCCTCAGCTTCCTCTCATCATCAGCATCCTCACCATCAGCATCATCATCATCATCATCATCATCATCATCATCATCATCATCATCATTATCATCATCATCATCGCCATCATCATCACCACAACCATCACCATCGCTATCATCACCATAAAAACCTAATCATCATCATGATCAGCAGCATCATCCGCATCGTCATCATCATCAGCATCATCATCTAGTCATTATCGTCATCATCATCCTCGTAGTCTTCATCATCAACATCAGCATCAGCATCAGCAGCCTCATTATCATCAGCATCACCATCATCGTCAGCAGCATCATCAGCATCATCACCAGATCCGCATCATCATCCACATCGTAATCATCATCATCATCATCACCAGCATCGTCATCATCATCAGCATCATCAACACCATCATCTTCATCACCAAAATACCATCATCATCATAATCGTCGTCAGGAGCAGCATCGTCGCCATCTTCCTCCTCCTCCTCCTCATGACCATCACCATCAACAACACCACCATCATCATCCTCATCATCAGAAGCAGCATCAGCATCATCATCCTCATCCTCATCCTCCTCATCATCAGCAGTGTCATCATCATCATCATCACAACCATCACCATCATCATCAGCATCAGCATCAGCATCATCATACTCGTCATCATGATCATCATCATTACCATCATCAGCATCATCATGATCAGCAGCATCATCATCAGAATCATCATCATAATCAGCAGCAGCATCATAAGCATCATCATCAGCATCAGCATCATCATTATCCTATCCTCATCCTCATCACCATCATCATCAACATCATCACCATCAGCATCACCATCATCATCATCACCATCACCATCGTCATCATCCAACGACCCCTCGTGGGTCCCTAGGCGTTTGAGATTGCTCCCCCCCATCATCCCCCCGGGACCCCAAGCTGGCAATTCGACCCCTTCCCTGGCCTGGGACGACCCCCCGATTGGCTCCTCAAGGGGGGTCCGGCTCTCCCCGGACTCACTTTACAGCTTCAAGACAGCCCCTGAGACCTCCCAAGAGGCCTCCAAGAGGGCCCCGAGTCGCCGAAAGATCGTTCCAAAACGCCCACGATGGCCTCCACGCGGCACCCCCACACCCTTCCTCCTGGTGGTGCTGCTCCTCCTCCTCCTCCCTCCCCTCCTCCTCCTCCTCCTCCTCCTCCTCCTCCTCCTCCTCCTCCTCCTCCTCCTCCTCCCTCCTCCTCCTCCTCCTCCTCCTCCTCCTCCTCCTCCTCCTCCTCCTCCTCCTCCTCCTCCTCCTCCTCCTCCTCCCTCCTCCTCCTCCTCCTCCTCCTCCTCCTCCTCCTCCTCCTCCTCCTCCTCCTCCTCCTCCTCCTCCTCCTCCTCCTCCTCCTCCTCCTCCTCCTCCTCCTCTTGGTCCTACTCCTCCTATAATTGAACCTCCTCATCCCCGTCCCCTTCATCTCCCTCAATCCCTTTCCTCATAGATAGCTTTTCCCTGACGCACACCTAGACGTGTCGGTCAGGCGGGCTGGGCGTTTCGCCTGAGACTTCCTCACCTCTGATGATCCTGAAGCTTAAAGCTTGCAACATCTACGAGGATGGAGAGGGGTCATTTTACAAATTGAGCTCTCGCCTTAGACCGCGCACATTCGTACGTCAAGCTTGCAACGGTTACAAGCGTGGATAGGGTCGTTTTCAAAATGGAGCTCTCGCCTGAGCGCCTTGCAGACTTTTCTGTAAAGGCTGGCAACAATTACAAGGATGGATAGGGAATGGTTTTCAAACTGGGGCTCTCGCATCAGCGCCGCGAGCAGTCGTTCAAAAATGCTCAAACAATTACAAGGATGAAGGCGGAGTCGTTTTGGTAATGAAGCTCAGGCCCTGCGTGGCGCACATTCGGCTAAAAACCTTGCAACAACTAAACGGATGGAAGGCAATTCCTTTCAAATGGGGCTCCCGATCAGGAGCTTCCCGAAGTCCATGGCCGGAGCGTAAGCTCGTGCACCAAATGCCCAAACGGGGCGGTCCTCCGGAAAAACGGAACTACTGCCCTCGGGAAAACGGGATTTCGTCGAACTGTATGCTCACACCCTGCACCTTGCTCGCATGATTCACTCTTCGCTCGAAGGATACACTTTGCGAAATGCTTAAGAAATCATGGGTTAAGAAACTCAGAGTCTCAGAATTTGAACAAAAACCCAGAATTTCTGTTGGAATCTGCGGGTTCACATTGAAACATTAAGAATAATCGAGACTCTGGCCGAAAACCTGGGTTTTCTTAAGCATCGCCTCAGGTGTACACGGCGGTTCCTTCCCACAGCGGGGCTCTCGCCTGTCTGACAGGCCCGTAGGGCGCTGGTCTTTCAAGGGGGGCGCCTCTTGGAGTGCAAAGGAGGGCCTGCAGTGACTCCTGAAGAGGGGACTTGGGACAGAATGGCGCTTTTCAGCATCGTGGATGCGTCTTGGATTTACTCTGCCCCTCCGTCTCCTCCTCGTCCTCCTCGACGGAGGACGACGACGAGGAAGATGGACACGATGGACATCAAGGACGACGAGGACGACGACGATGACGACGACGACGACGACGACGACGACGACGACGACGGCGGCGGCGAAGAGGTTACGGCGGCATAGACGGCAGGAGCCGGCAGGAGTTGGGGAGAGCCCCACCCGCCGCCGAGCCCGCGGCATTTCCGAGCTCGTTGGCGAACTCGGTTTCCCGCCAAGCCTTTCGCTTCCTGCCCGCACGGAGCCCCGCCTCGCCGTCGTCATCGCCGCCGCCGTCGTCGCCACCTGTCGTCGTCGTCCGTCGCCTGGCGCTCGCCGCTCGTCAATTATCGTCGTCGTCCGTTTCGCCTTCACCGACGCTGCCGCTCGCCGTCATCCTCGCTTGGCCTCGTCGTCTGCCCCATCCTCCCACTGCCCTGTCATCTTTCCTCATCGTTCTGTGTCACAATTGCAGGTTCCCACTCGGCCACACTGCCGGCCGACAGAGGTCTGATCCGATGGCGCCCGCCCTGCCCATCAAAAAATGATCCTGGCGAAGGACCCAATCAATACGCAAGCGTGAGTGCCGCAAGGCTGTTGGCACGCAAGAGAGGGAGTCCCCTGTGGGACCACGGAAACGCGTGAGGGGTGCGCCTAAACGAGCGTGACGCCCACATGCAAACCCTGCCAGACGGGTATTATGTGGAGCTCCCTCTGGTGTCACGAAACGTGTGAGGGGTGTGCCGAAACGAGCGTGAGTGACGCCCAAATGCAAACCCTGCCAGATGGGTATTATGTGGAGCTCCCTGTGGGGCTGGAAACATGTGAGGGGTGGCAGGAATGGGAGGAGGGAGGGGGAGGGCAGCGGGAAAGAGGACCCTCGGCGCTGTCTCTTCAAAACGAGGACCCAACAACACAATGGTTGGGAAAAGCTAAATCAACGATGGTCTTCTCGGCTTTGACGTTTCGTCGTCGACGCTCGCAGCGCGGATTGCGCGCAACATGTCGCTCTCGCCTAGGCGCCGCGCATACTCGTCATGAAAGCGTGATCCCGCTTGAGTGCAGCGCACATGTTTCTCTCGCCAACTCGTCCACGGCGGGGTCGCGCGCGAGCTATTGACATGTCGTTCTCGCCCACGCGCCACCCAAATCTTGCCAAAAATTCGAGTAGGGGATCGATTACAGAACTGATTCACCCCAGATTTGATGTTTCCATCGGGTCGACGAAAAGACGTAGAATGTGTAGATCAACGATCAGTCCACGTACTGTGCGCAGACCCGACGACATATGAAGATTCTAGGGTAAATCAATTATGTTGTAGATCTCCTTCTCGAAAGGTGGCGCTCTCGCTTTGGCGTCGCGCATGTGTTGCTTCTCCGCCCGTCCTTATCAGGAACTTGCCGCGCGCGAAAGGGCATCCGTCGAAGCGCCGTGCGGGGACTCCCCGAGAGGTCCGTTCGCCAAGTCGTCGGTCGTCGGTCGTCGGTCGTCGTCGTCGTCGTGTTCGTCGGTAGTCGGTCGTCGGTCGTCGTCGTCGTCTTCGTCGTCGTCGTGAGCCGTCGTCGTGAGCCGTCGTCGTCGTCGTCGTCGTCGTCGCTGTCGTCCTCGCAGTCGTCGTCGACGTCAACGTGTCGGCGACGGGGGCGCACCGCCGTGCGACGGGGGCGCCGCGCCGCGCGCGGCCCACCGTTTCCCTTTGCCAAGTCGTGTCCCTTTGCCAAGTCGTGGGAGCGGGCCCGAGCGCCCCTCCGAGTCCCGGCTGCCGGCTGCGCCAGCAGTGGCTCGTGCGCGGCGACGAGGCCGGGTGGGAGTGGGCGGGGCCCTCTGGCGCGGTCGAGCCGGCTCCCCTCGCTGCCTCCTGAGCGTCTCCTTCTCCATCTCGTCTCGCGCAGCCGTGTCCTCAAACCTCCTCGCTCCGACCTGTCCTCGTCCCCATCCGTCCTCCTCCAAGATGCCTGTCTGCCTTCTGCAAAGGCATCGGGCGAGGCCCGATGAGCCGTGCCACCTGCATCTCAAGCCGCAGAGGCAACAGATAACCGCCGCGGCTGCATGTTGTACCCCGCTCCTCGTCCTCTCCCCGTTGTCCTGGAATCTACCACTCTCCTCCTCCCCCCTCCTCATCCTCATCCTCCATCCGTTTTCCGTACAGATCCACAACCGTGCCACCCAGCACGCTACGGCGTGGCAGAATGCAGAGTGCTGCCTGGTAGGCTTCCTGTAGAATCTTCTCGGCCCCCCGACCCTCCTCCTCCTCCTCCTCCTCCTCCTCCTCCTCCTCCTCCTCCTCCTCCTCCTCTGACTACCTACCAGACCACCCCAACCCAACCCGAAGACCCCAATTTCGGGTTGGGGGGGATACGGGTTCCATATGCGTTTTTTCAGTGTTCTCCAACCCTCCCAACTGGAAATGGAGGGCAAATTGAGGCCTTCGGGTTGGGTTGGGGTGGTTTGGTGGGTGGTGATCCTCCTCCTCCTCCTCCTCCTCCTCCTCCTCCTCCTCCTCCTCCTCCTCCTCCTCCTCCTCCTCCTCCTCCTCCTCCTCCTCCTCCTCCTCCTCCTCCTCCTCCTCCTCCTCTCCTCCTCCCTCCTCCTCCTCCTCTCCTCCTCCTCCTCTCTACCCGCATCCAGCTGCGTGCACCGACCCCCACCCCATCCCCCTCGCCTGCCGCCCCGCGCCCGCCGTAGGCTCCGAGGGCTTCCCGGCCTCGCGAGCGGCCACTGCCGGGCGCCAAGGCCAGAGGAGCCCCATGCCAGGCCGCCTCCTTCGCCACCAAGGGGCGCCAAGGCCAGCGCCCCGCCTCCCGTGGACTTCTCCCCCCCAACGCTTCCTGGGCGGCCCGACTCTTCCCGGGCGCCGCCCAAAGCGTCAAAGGTGCCCAAGATGCCTTCCTCGACGGCCCGGGCAAGCCACCAGGGTCATACCCGCATCCAGTTGGGCGCTTCGACCCCACCCCCAAGGCTTCCTGGGCGGCCAGACTACTCCCCGGCGCCGCCCAAAGCGTCAAAGGTGCCCAAGATGCCTTCCGAGACGGCCTGGGCAAGCCACCAAAAGGCCACCGAGATGGTCTCAGATGGCCCTCTCACCCGGCCAGGATGGCCTCGAGACGGGTCAAGAGGCCTCCAGCACGGCCCAGGCGGGTTTCCACACGGATCCCCAGCAGGAGCGAGGATACCAAAATCGTGTATTTTTTGTATAGGGTCGAAGGGTCAGGTCTGCAGACACCCAGGAACGGGCGTCAAGGGGTGCAACCTGCAACCACTCTGCGTGCTTTTAAGCGCGTGCTTTAACCGCCCCCCTTGATGCACTCCTTTGACGCCCCCCTTGATGCACCCCCTTGACGCCCCCCTTGATGCACCCCCTTGACGTCCCCTGGTGGTCATTCAGAGGAGGGCGCGTTCTGACTGTCAGCCCTACTCGATGTATGTTCTTAAGGTTGTTGCCAGATTTCGCATGCTCGCCTGTTCAGGCTTCCGTCAGCAAAAGACGGCCCCAGTGACCTCCAAGATGGCCCCCGGGCGGACGGCCTTCAGAGGGCCCCATCGACGGCCAAGAGGACGCCAAGACGGCCCAACAGAGCCCCAAGACGGCCAAAGAAGGCCCCGAGACGGCGGCTAAACGAACCCCCAGGCGGCCCAAGAGGGCCACAGAGGACCCGTAAGACTTTCCCACAGGAGCCCAAGACAGCCTCAAGGCGGCCCAACTGATGTCACATGCGACGGCCTACCTTGCGCCTCGAACAGTCGCCACCCGGAGTGGTGGCAAGGCACTGTGGCGAGACGTGCCGCAGGCAGCTGGGTAAGTCGCAGCCCCACGCGTGTCAACAAAGCGAACAAGGCGTTCGCTTGAGACTTCCTCGCCACTTACGACCATGAAGCGTGAACGTTGCAAGAGTTTCACAAATTGGAAGGGGCGTTGCCAAAAGTGGTCCATCACCGTCACGCCGCGCACAGTATTCTTAACAGCCTGCAGCAGCATGGAAAAAAAAAGTGTCGTTTTGACAATTGGGCTGTCGCCTTCACGCCGCGCAACCCCGTGCGAAAAGCTTGTAATAGCAACAAGGACGGGGGAGCATTTTTCACAATGGAGGAATAGCTCTAGCACCGCGCACACTCGTCCTCAAAGCTTGCAGCAGTTACACGGACGGAGGACGTTTCACGTTCAAAATGGGGTTATCGCGACAGCGCCGTGCACTCTCTCCCCAAAAGTTTACATCAGCAAGGATGGATCGGGTCGTTTTCAAAAGAAGGTGATCAGCGCCGCGGACATTCGTCTGAAAAGCATGAAACAGTTGGAACATTGGAGGGCAGCTTCTGTTCAACCTGCATATGTCGCTTGAAACATCCTCAAAACAGTGCTAGAATGCCCAAGGACTGCTCGGACGGAGGATCCTCTCCGAAGTGGGGCTCTCACGGTGAGCATTCCTCGCATACACCCTGCGAAATGCTTAAGAAATCATGGGTTAAGAAACTCATAGTCTCAGAATTTGAATCAAAACCCCCAACTTCTACTGAAAAGTTAGGTTTCCCATCGAAACAATAAGAATCATCAAGACTCTGGCCGAAACCTTACGCTTTCTTAAACATCGCCCAGGGTGCACGATGGCCAGAAGTGCAAACGCGTGCGACAGGCGCACGGATGCCGGGTGGGGGCTGCTCCTCTTCAAGAACGGGGCCCTCGCTGGACACACACCGCTGGACGAAGAGCACCGCCGAGGAACCCAAAGCTGGGACGCATCGCTTCGCTTCGCTGTCGCAAAAAAGAAGAAAAGAATCGATATTTTCAAAAACACCCAAAAAACGTGAAAACACAAAAAGAATTTACATTTGCCATTGTCAGTAATTCTTTCCAACCGTCGTTCTGTCCACATCGTCTCGAACACATCGCTTCGCCCTGCCGTTGGGGAAACCGAGAAGTTTCGATGCCGCTACTCCCTGGACCTCTCCGGGGGTGCGTTCTGACCAGGATTTCGAGCCGAATCCAGCGGTGGCGACGAGGGCCCCCCAGGAGGCCAAAAGGGCGAAACCGAGGCAAGGGCAGCGGTATGGGTACTTTTTCCTTCCTCGCTGGACACATCGCTGGACGTTGTGGCCCTACACTTTTGCATTTATTCGAACTCGCTCGAAAGCAAGGGGCCCAGGGACACACACAGAAGTAGACACAACTCACAGGGTTCCCCACACGTTCCCATAGGGTCTGGAGCTTCGTCTTCCCCTCACCTCCCACATTTTCAAATATTTTCCTGGAAGTCCACGACTTCTCCTCCTCCTCCTCCTCCTCCTCCTCCTCCTCCTCCTCCTCCCCCTCCTCCTCCTCCTCCTCCTCCTCCTCCTCCTCCTCCTCCTCCTCCTCCTCCTCCTTGTGTCTGTGTGTTTCCCCTCCCGACAAGAGGTGCAGGGCTGCTCCTGGCTCAAGCCATGGGCTCTCGCCCGACGGGCAGGCCGGCAAAGGTGCTCCGACTTTCGAGGGGGGGCGCCTCCTGGAGAGAGCAGGAAGGCCTGCAGGGACCTGCGAGGAGGGGCCGTTGGACGAGAGGCTGTACTGCCGCATCGTCACGCGGTCAAAAAAATTAACGAGGACGAGGAAGACCTCCTCTTCCTCCTCATCATCATCCTCCTCATCATCATATGCATCATCGTCATCATCATAATCAGAATCATAATCATCATAATCAGCATCATCAGCCCCATCCTCATCATCGCCAGCAACAACAACAACAACATAATCATAATCATCATCAGCAGCATCATCAGCAGCATCAGTATCATCATGAATATCATCGCCGTCATCCCCATTCTCATCGTCAGCACCCTCTTCATCATCATGAGGATAATCGCCGTCATCCTCGCACTCCTTCCTCCCTTTTTCCTCACCCTCCCTCTCCTCATGTTCCCTCCTTGCGTACCTCCCGCCCTCCCTCTCATGTTCTTCCCCCACCACTGTTTAACCATGCCGTGTCCTCGGTTGCTTGTGCCACTTGTAATGGGTAACATGGGGTGGCTTGTCGCAACGTCCCTGGTAGATCGAAAGTCTCCCGAGACATGGCTCGCGCGGAAAGAGAAACCCCCATAACAGATCCCTGCTCATCTCCCTGCTCCCCTGCTTCCTCCCCCGTTGTCCTCCATCTCCCTCCACCAGGTGTCGTGTGTTTTCCCATGGTTCTCTCTTATTGCTCCTTCCAGTCCGTGATCGATAAGGGCTGCCGGGAAAGGTGGCATCGAATGTGAACTACAGTGGAGGCTCGTCCACAAGAAACCTTCCACAAGAAACCCAACCCTGAGACCTCAGGACGTCCACTGAGTTTTGGCGTGGGAACGTTGCGCTCTCCATGGCAAAATCGTCGAAACCCAAGAAACCCAGGGCACCCTGGAGGCGAACAGGGAGTCTCTTGGCATGGGTCCCCACTGTAGAGGCTGCGCAGTCGGCCCCACCACTCGCCGCCTGGATCCTCATCTGGGCGGGCCAGGGGCCAAGGCTCCGACAGACGCACGCCCTTCGGCCACGAGCACTTGCCATTCGGAGTTGGACTCCTCTGCTGCGAACGGATACCCGTGCAGGGCCGACAGATCGGACGGGGGAGGCCCAACGCTTAGGCCCCGTAACGCAATCCCAAAAATAAAAGAAGATTCGTCTCAAAACCCTGCAAACGTAAAGAGTATGCCGGGGGGGATACTTCTAATTCCACCACCTGCCTGAGGTTGGGGGGTCAGAGCCGCACACACACACACACACACACACACACACACACACACACACACATTCGGCTTTCTGGCTACGGAAAAAAAACGCGCGCACTGAACGCATAGGAGCCAGTCCATAGAGCTCTGTGGGAGCGGCAGCTGGAGACAAGCCTCGGGCGGGGGGACGGATGGATTGCGGGCCAGCTATCCAAAAAGCTCTTTAGCGGGAGCTCCGCGATGGTTCTACACATACCTCGTGGCAGCCTGCTACACTCACACACACACACACACCTCGTAAAGGTAGATATCCTGGAGGACCTCAGGATGATGACGGTTAGCTCCGTCTTTGGCTAGCTCATCGCCTTGTCGTTGCCTCTCGGATGCCGCAGAGCAGTACCCGTGAGCTCGCCTTCTGCATGGGCGCTGACGTCTTCCAGATTTCGCTGGGGGGGCCGCCGAACAGTCGAGGGCATGCCATACTTCGGACAGCGGGCCTGCACTTGAGAAAGCCTTCCGAGGGTCGCGGCATCCTCCAAGAAGGGCAGCGCAATCAATGTGAACGAAATCCGCCCCTCCTCCTCCTCCTCCTCCTCCTCCTCCTCCTCCTCCTCCTCCTCCTCCTCCCCCTCCCCTCCTCCTCCTCCCTCCTCCTCCTCCTCCTCCTCCTCCTCCTCCTCCTCCTCCCACTCCTAGCCCTTTCGATCAGGGTCGGCGGCACCGGCCGTCAGGCCTCTCCAATACTCGGACCACTCTGGGTCGTCCTGCTCATCTGGCTCGAGGTCGAGAGAAGTCCAGATAGGAGGCCATACACTTCTCCGATAATTGCACACTGGGGAAGGAACCCAGGCACTGAGATAACCCCCGACCAGCTCTGGAAACATGTTCGGACTGGCCTCCGAAACAGGAACCATCAAAGTACTCGTTTCTGCTGAACTTGAAAGGATCTTTCTGCTGGTCTGGGCCTAGGTCTGCTATAGATCCTTCCCAGGCGGGTCCGTTTGGATGACCTGGCACAGGGAGCCACAGACTGTTGAAGAAGCGATCGTCTGGCCTGCCGCAAAGCCTGCAGCAGCCTACTCTTCTGGGAGAGAGTCAGTTCGCTGCGCAGCGAGCCCAGGACATTGTAAACATAATTATGACGATTGTGATGATGATGCTGATGATGATGATGGTGATGATGATGATGGTGGTGATGCTGCTGATGATGATGCTGATTATTCGCATCATCGTTATTCTTATCATACCATCACTATCAGCATTATTATTAGCATTATTATCAGTTTGTTCTAAGTATGTTGTGTTATTATATTTTACCCTTCGTATGCTTAACACTGTTAGTATTATCTATATTTTTGCTGTTGGAATTCTTATTCTCAGTAGTATTGTTATGATTGTTGTTACTGTGCATCTTCATGTCGTTAGTATCATTCGTTGTATTTCTGTTATTCCTATGAGTATTATTGTCATTCGTATGATTTTTATTCGTACCCTTATTGTTATTTTTCCGAGAAGGAAGAGGAGGAGGACGAGGAGGAAGAGGAAGAGGAGGAGGAATCTGGGGAGGACGTCGATGAGGCGAAGGAGGAGGAGGAGGATGAGGAGGAGGAAGAGGGAAGAGGGGTAGGACGTGGATGAGGCGGAATGCAGGATGGGGGAGGAGGAAGAGGGAGGAGGAGGTGGAGGAGGAGGGTATGTAATGAGAAGGGGGAAGCGAGGAGGGGAAGGAGGAGCTCGCCGTGTGGAACTCCAATAGGCCCAAGCTCAAAAAACGTCTGATGAAGCCACTCTGTCTTTTGTGACGGCCAGTCACTTGTAGCAGTGGGGCTACCAGGTCGAACCGATTTGCCCTTTTTGCCGCTGCCTGTGCAGCGACGGCGAGTCTGGAGCGATTGTCGGCGTGTGGCACAGATCCTCGACAGCCTCATTATCATCACCATCATCATCATCACCAGCAGCATCGTCATCGGCATCATCATCGCCAGTATCACCATCATCATGATCATCAGCATCACCATGATTACTATTAGTATTTCAAATTAGTACCATAGCCATCACAAGTATCACCACCATCATCAACATCAACATCCTATTCATCATCACTATCTTCATCATCCTTAGCAGCAGCATCACCATCAGCATCATCGTCGCCACCATCATCATCAGCATCAGCATCAGCATCAGCATCAGCATCATCATTACCAGATTCGGCATCACCATCATCAACATCATTATCATCATCACCACCATCATCATCACCATCATCATCAGCAGCAGCAATATCACCTCCTCCACGGCCACCACGACAACCACCACCTCCAACAACCGCAACAACAACAACACAATCATCATCAACACCACCACCTTCCTCATCAACACCACCACCGCCACCACCACCAACACCACTCACCGTCGTCATCATACTCATCATCAGCAGCATCATCGTCGTCAGCCTCCGCAGCATCATCATCTTCATCATCAGCAGCATCAGCATCATCAGCATCATCGTCGTCGTTGTCGCCATAATCGTAAACATCATAATCATCGTCACCATCGCCACAGTCATCATCCCCATTGTCACCGCTAGCATTACCACCACTACCACCACTATGCCATTATCAACATCGACATCAGCATCATCGTAATGAGCATCGTCATCGTCATCAACGGCCTCATCGTCAGCAGCATCGTTAGTGGCATCATGATCAGCAGCAGCACCCTGATTTTTCGCATGTCGAGTGCCTGTCTCATCATCGTCATCAGAATCAGCGTCAGCATCATCAGCGACGGTAACAGCAACATCATCATCATCACCATCATCAGCATAAGCATCAGCATCAGCATTATCGTCAGCCTCATCATCATCTGCATCAACAACATCAGCATGACCATCATCGTCAGCATCATCATCCGCATCATGATCGGCAACATCATCAGCATCAGCATCATCAGCGTCGGCATCAACAGCATCGACACCAGCAGTATCGTCGTGATCAGCAGCATCACCATCATCATCAGCATCATCGTCAGCAGCATCACCAGCAGCATTATAACCATCGGCAGCAGCAGCAGCATCATCATCAGCATCAGCATCGTCACTGTCGGCGCTAAACGAGGTTCATCACCAGCAACGGCGTCAGCATCATCATCACCCTCACCACCACAAGCAGCATCAGCAGCGTCTTCGTCAACCGCATCGTCGTGAGCATCAGCATCATCAACATCATCATCATCAGCAGCAGCATCATCAACATCATCAGCATCAGCATCAGCATCAGCATCAATCATTATCATCATCATCATCATCATCATCATCATCATCATCATCATCATCATCATCATCATCATCATCATCATCATCATCATCATCATCATCATCATCATCATCATCATCTTCATCAGCCTCATCATCATCAGCATCAGCATCAGCACTATCATCATCATCCTCGTCCTCCTCATCCTTATCATCATCATCCTCCCCTCAGCCCCTCGGCCTTACCTGCGCACACACCCGTCGCCGCCGCGTCGCCGTCGTCACACTGCGGGAAGGTCCTCGTGCGCTCAACGCGCGCGGCCTCCCTATCTCTCAGCTCCTCGGCGCAGGGCGCGGGCGGCTGACCCAAGCGGGTGGGGGGGGGCGGCTGGAGAGCAGCGCGTCCGACCTAGGAAGAGACTCGGCGCTCTGCGTGCTCCTCCTCATCCTGCCCGTCGTCATCATCATCATCATCATCATCATCATCATCATCATCATCATCAGCAACAGCATCATCCTTATCACCATCATCATCAGCATCACCATCAGCGTCAGCACCAGCATCAGCATCATCATAATCAGCATCATCATCAGCATCGTCATCATCATCCTCACCCTCATCATCAGCATCAACATCACCATCATGATCATCATCAGCAGCAGCAGCATCATCATCATCATCACCATCACCATCATCATCACCCTCATAATATCAGCAGCATCATCATCGTCATCATCATCAATCGGTCCTCACCATCATCGTCATCATCATGATCCTCATCATCAGTATCATCAGCATCATCATCTGCATCATCATCACCATCATCATCATCAGCATGATCACCAGCATCATCATCATCATCATCAGCATCATGATCAGCAGCATCATCAGCATCAGCAGCATCAGCATCAGCATCAGCATCATCATCATCATGAACAGCATCATCATCAGCATCATCAGCGCCAGCAGCAGCAGCAGCGGCAGCATCATCAGCATCACTATCATCAGCATCATCATCATCAGCGTCAACATTGTCATCATCATGATCATGATTAGGACGCTCATCATCATATCATCATGCTCATCCTCATCATCATCACCATTACCAGCAGCAGCAGCCGCAGCAGCAACGGCATCATCCTCGTCGACGTCGTTAACAGAATCATCATAATCATCATCCTCATCAGCAGCAGCATCGTCATCATAATCATTATTATCATTTTTATCATCATCAGCATCTTCGTCGATATCGTCATCGTCAGCATCATCATCACCAACATCACCACCACAACCACAACCAGAATTATCATCACCATCCTACGTATATCATCCTCAGCGTCATCATCATCATCACCATCGTTAGCATCATCATCACCACGACCATCACCAGCAACATCACCATCATCACCGTCTTCATCGTCATCATCACCGGCATCGTCGTCGTCACCATCATTATCATCAGCATCATCATCACTATCGTCATCATCATCATCACAACCACAATCATCATCACCATCACCATCACCATCACCACAACCACCGTCGTCAGCATCATCATCATCATCACCATCATCATCACCACCACCATCATCACCGCCACCGCCACCTCCACCATTATCATCATCATCATCATCATCATCATCATCATCATCATCATCATCATCATCATCATCGTCGTCATCATCATCATCATCATCATGATCAGTATTATCATCATCACCACCACCGCCATCATCATCATCATCGCGCTCATCATCGTCATCATCTGCACCACCATTAGTTGTATCCTAACCATCATGGTCGTCCATCGCAATCGTCATAGGAGTCGTCATCACCACCGCCACCATAATCACTGGCATCGTCTTCATCATTACGGTCACGATCGTCGTCGAACATTTCAATTATCATCGCTTCTCCACCTCCTCGTCAGCACAGTCGTCGCCATCAACACCAGCAATAATCATTGTCAGTCTTCACTGCCCGTGTGTCATTCAACATGTGTACCCCGAACCCTCCACGCCCAAATTATTCGTTTAAGAACGTACCTCATTGGTAAGCACAGACAGAGTAAGACATGTCAAAGGCGTGTGGACTACATGCTGAGTGGAACGCGATCAATGAAGAACGAATAGATTTACTTGGATGGTCGA